CACAAACAGGGAGATCTTTTGTCCTCATTGCATCTCAGTAGATAGGTGCAAGTCTGGATATGTATAAAAATCATTATAGCCGTATCTTTCCACTTACACACTCACAAGGCAAAAGTACCTATTTGCAAATGGGAAAAGTTCTGCTTAATATAATCTACTATGTATTGCTTCTGAGGTTGATTGGAATGGATAGTCAGAAATATTTGCTTCCTTTTTGGGGGGTGGGCAATTGAAGGAAAGATAAGCATACATTTCTATATTTAGTGTTTTGAAGTTTCTGTGGGGGGTCAAACTTAATAAATGGCTGGAGCAATAGCACAGCCGGTAGGGCGTTTGCCTTACAAGCGGCCAACCTGGCCGACCCGAGTTCGATTCCTCTGCCCCTCTTGGAGAGCCCGGCAAGCTACCAAGAGTATCTCGGCCGCACGGCAGAGCCTGGCAAGCTACCCGTGACGTATTCGAGATGCCGAACACAGTAACAGGTGTCATTACTGGGCCCACTCGAGCAAATTGATGAACAACGGGAGGACAGTGACAGTGACAGTGGGGGTCATATCAGCTCTGCACTCAGGGATTGCTGCTGGCTCGGGAGACCACCGGGGCTGCCGGGAATTAACCCTGTGTTGTCTGCGTGCAAGGCAAGGGCCCTGCCCATGGCACAGTTGCTCTGGCCTTAGACATAGTTTTTTCAAGGTTTTTGGGGTTTGTTTGTTTTGATTTTTCACTTTTGAAAATAGTGTATTTTGTGATGGCGGCAGTTGAGTCAGGAAATACTGCCTTTGGAAAGGATGCAGAGGGCCGGGAAGGAGCAGAGCACTTCCCCTGTGTGCAGCCAGCCCTGCTTTGGTCCCCAATATCTAATATGGTCTTCTGGGCCCGCCAGGGGTTAATTCCTGAGTGAGAGCCAAGGATAACCTTTTAGCATCACTGGGTGCGGCCACTAAGAAACGAACAAATGGCCTGGGGATTCCACCTGGACCTCCTGTGGCAAGAGCATGAACTCCAGCCCTTTGAGCCAGCTTCCTAGTCCCTTGAGAATATTCTTTGTTTTTATTTGGGGGGGGGCTGGGGTTAGATTTTGGGCCACGCCTGGTGTACTCAGGGCTTACTCCTGGATTTGTGCTCAGGGATCATTCCTGGTGGGTTCAGAAGCGACGATATGGTGTGGGGCCGGGCCGCATCCTCTCCCTCTGCCTATTCCGAGGGAAGAGAGGGACAGTCATCAGTGGTCCAGGCATCTGGCACGGCATCATGCCAGGAGAGGGCGCTCTGGCTCCCTCAAGGGCTCCTGTTGTGATGGTCGGAGGGACTTCTCTAGGGGCAACTGTAGACATTTGAGGGAGACTGAGAGGGGAGTCTCCCCTAAGAATTCTCTCAAGGGACTCACTCACTCCTTAGCATTCTGTAAACCACTCTCCATCTGAAACAAGTTCCCTGTTGAGGGCGTTTCTTCCCTTGCAGATCAGGCTTGTGCTGTAGGCCAGCCTGGGGCTGGGGTCGCCCAGTCTGTTGTACTGAAGGTGAGTTGGTAGCATATTGCTGCACTTCGCGTTGTCTGTGCAGTGATTAAGTGCTTGTTTCTCTACAGTGTGTGTTATTAGGGGGATAGTTTGGAAAAATGTTACTTCAGTGTGGTTTTAATTAGCTTCTGAGTGAGGTTTTAGCACGTTTTTGAGCAGTATTCTGTCCTGGTTTGATATCCCATTAAATCAGAATGAAATAACAATTGAGAAGTTCTACAGGAACATTGATACTTAAACCCTGAAAGGCTTTTTCCTTAGATTTTTGGGTAGTTTAGAGGAGTAGGATAATTTTAGGGTAAACAAAAATTTATCAAATTTAAACTGTTGTTTCATTTTGGCTTTTTTTTTTTTGTCCATTTCCACAGTACTAGGGAGTTCCTCCCACCTCAGTGATGGGGGGGGGGGGGGGCGCCATCCGGTGCTGGGGATTGAATCGGGCCTCCTGCATGACAAGCATGTGCTCACCTTCAGCCTACCTTACTGGCCCATGTAGTAGCACTGTAGCACTGTCCTCCCGTTGTTCACTGATTTGCTTGAGCAGGCACCAGTAGCGTCTCCATTGTGAGACTTGTTGCTATTGTTTTGGCATATTGAATACGCCACGAGGAGCCTGCCAGGCTCTGCCATGTGGGCGGGGTACTCTCGGTAGCTTGCCAGGCTTTCCGAGAGGGACGGAGGAATCTAACCTGGGTTGGCTGCATGCAAGGAAAACGCCCTACCCGCTGTGCTATAACTCCACCAAAAAGAAATATATTTATGTATATATATTACATAGGGCTGTAATGTATATTACATATTACATAGTATATGTAATGTATATTACATATTACATAGGGCTGTAATATATGTAATATGTAATATACATGGGCTGGAGCGATAGCACAGCGGATAGGGCGTCTGCCTTGCAAGCGGCCAACATGGCCGACCTGAGTTCAATTCTTCCACCCCTTTTGGATAGTCTGGCAAGCTACCAAGAGTATCTCGCCTGCACCGCAAAGTCTGGCAAGCTCCCCATGATGTGTTCCACATGCCAAACACAGTAACAACAAAGTCTCACAATGGAGACGTTACTGGACCCGCTCGAGCAAATCGATGAACAACGGGAGGACCGTGACCGTAATATACATATTACATATTATATCACTTAATCACTTAATCCCCGTTATTCATCGATTTACTCGAGCGGGTGCCAGTAACGTCTCCATCCATCCCGGTTGCGTGCTAGCATAGCCCAATGGTATCTGTTCGTTCTAGGAACATGCAGAGCCTCAAACCGATCATTCAGGGTCTTGACGAAGAAGTCTGACCATCTTGTAGGTGGGCGTCCACGTGATCTTTTGATGTCCCGTGGAATCCAATCAGTAATGGCTCTAGTCCAGCGGTTGTCTGTAAACCTCATTACGTGTCCAGCCCATCTGATTTTTGATGTCTTGGCAAATGAGACAGCGTCCCTGATTCTTGAGCGTTGACGAAGATCAGAACTCCGGATTCTATCTCTCATTTGAGTGAATCGTGATATTCCAATTTATTTATTTATTTTTTTTATATATATATATTTGTATATTATATATACTTTTCTCTAAGTTTTCAGGGTACCTTAAACATATTATATAGTATGTAATATATGTAATATATACATATATTATAATGTATATATGTAATATATAAAAATTTATATTTCTGTTTGGCGGAGCGATAGCACAGCGGGTAGGGTGTTTGCCTTGCACGCGGATCCTGGGGACGTTGGTGGTGGAAAATGTGCACTGGTGGAGGGATGGGTGTTTGATCATTGTATGACTGAAACTCATTCTTGAAAGCTTTGTAACTGTATCTCACGGTGATTCAGTGAAACAAGCGAAAAACCTGGGTTGGCCCATGGGAGGCAAGTGCCCTGCCCGCTGTGCTATTGCTCTGGCCCTGAGGGAAGGTGGGGATGAGACACTGCAGAGCAAAAGTCAGGTTTCTGTCAGTGAATGATTTGGGTCTGGGACCAGGCAGAGCATTTGCCTGGCATGCAGCCAACCTAGGTTTGGTCCCTGGTATCCCTTATGGTCCCCGAGCACCACCAGGAGTGATCCCTGAGTATAGAGCCAGGAGTGCATCCCCTGAGCACTGCTGCGTATGGCCAAAAAAGCCCAAACAACATCAAAAACTTATGTGGCTCTTCTGCAGTCGGGGTTCCTCTGCGGTGCCATGTCACATCTGGTCGGACCTTCCCTCGTGCAGTGGGGCTGACTAGCTGTCCCAGGCAGCTCTCCCCGCTCCTTTCGTCCCGACTCGAGTCTTGTGTCTTCCTACCAACCTTCATGTTAGAGTGAGTAAGGGGTGCTTCATAGTTCTGGACCAGGTACCCACAGGGAAAAAAGACAAGTTTTTTCTTATTGTTTTGGGGGCCATACCCAGGGTGCTCAGGGGTTAATTATTCTTGGCTCTGTACTCAGGAGTTAATCCTGGTGTTACACTTGACTGACCATATGGGGTGCTGGGGATCAAATGGGTTGCCGGTTGCCGTGTGCACAGCAAATACCCTATGCTGTACTGTCTCTCCAGCAACCGTTAATCTTAAAAGAATTGGAAGTCTCAGCATTGTTTGGGTCCCATCATTTTGCGTGTGTGTATATGCGTGCGCGTGTGTGCATGTGTGTATGTGCTTGTGCTTGTGCGTGTGCGCGCGCGTGTGTGTGTGTGGGCATGTGTGTGTGTGTGTGTGTGTGTGTGTATGCGCTATCCCAGCCATCAGGCCGATGGTCTGCACCTGCGGGGGCTGCTTCCCTCTCTGTGGGCATCAGGCAGGACAGAGGATAAAACCTGAGCTGACCATTGATAGCTTGTAGTCATCTGAATTTGCTCCGAAAATATACCCATCGCACCTTCTCCAGCCCTCCAGCCCATTTTTAGGTACGAGACCTAATTAGAAGAGTCTGAGAGCTCATAGGAAACAGATGTGTATCTCCACAATGTAAATGTGCTTCTAGTCACATCACAGATTTTGAAGGTACCGATTATGTTGGGCTGGAGGGACAGCACAGAGGGTAAGGTGTTTGCCTTGCACGCAGCCGACTCGGGTTCGATTCCTCTGCCCCTCTCAGAGAGCCCGGCAAGCTACCAAGAGTCTCTTGTCCACACGGCAGAGCCTGGCAAACTCCCCGTGGCGTATTCCCGTGCCAAAAACAGTATCAACAGGTCTCACAATGGAGATGTTACTGGTGCCCGCTCGAGCAAATCGATGAACAACAGGAGGACAGTGCTACAGTGCAGAACTACATTTGTCTTGAGAAAAATTCTTTGGCTCCTTTGAATAAGAAATTTGGGCTAAGAATAAGAAACTTCTATGTGTTATGTTTTACTTCTGAGGAAAGTGTGAGTCATTTATAGAAAATACATGTATCTACAACTACTTTAAATATTGTACAATTAATATCTTGGGATTTGTCTTCCTTTTCACTGATACTGGCTCTTTTTATCTCTTTGAAACAGTGATCACATGGAAAATGTGTATGGCTACTTAATGAAGTACACCAATCTCGTCACCGGGTGGCAGTACAGGTGAGCCTGAGACTCCCGTGTCGTGTTACTCTCTTAAGGGACCAGTGGAGTGAGCCTGGTGGGTTTATATTCTGATACTGGCTGGACAATACTTTAGAGGTGGGTTGACCATGTGCTCTGAGAGGCTGCCACTGCCCTCTTAGAGAGTGTTTGCACATATCTAACTTGCCCACCAAGGCCTTTGATGTGACTCTTAGGTTTCAGTTAGAATCACAATGTCACCTGTTTGGGACTTTTCAAACTTGCCACCTCCCAGACTCTTGAGTGTTTTGGAGGCCGGGACCTAGCCGAGTTTAGATAACCAGCCATCAGGAAGCAGCGAATATTTAAAACCAGTCAGTGTTCTCTAATATTTCATGGAGTTAATAGTTGTAGTATAGAGGGATTAAATTTCCATTGTTTGACGTGGTAAAATATTATGAACAAAATTTATCATTGTAACCATTTTTGAATGTGTGATTTTTTTAACACATTCACTTTGTTGTACAGCCATTACTACTATTATTCTCCAGAAAATGTCATTTATTCAGACTAAAACTATAACTACTTAGCAGTATTTGCCCATAATCCCTTCCCCAGTCTTTAAAAACCTGCTCTAAATTCTCAGAATTTGACTAGATACCTTTCCTTACCCATTGTATTTCTTTGGCCCCAAATATTTAGAAATTTCTACTGTGGGTTGTGATGATAACAATAGGAGATGAATTTGCCTTCCTTACTGACTGTAAAGTGGTGCATAATATTTTTAAATGGTTTTAGTACATTTTAGAAGCATTCGTGTAAATGTGATTGTCTGAAAGACTTTGGGTTATGTTTTAAGTTCCACCAGGGAAATTAAATGGGAGTGGCATGTAGTAAGTTGGAGGTGATGGGAGAGGTCAAAATTGGATATAAAAGCTGAGCAGGAAGGATTCCCTTAGCCTGGGGCCTTAAGACTAAAGGATGAAAAGAAATAGAGCAGCAAGAATCCTGGTGAAACACGGAGATTTAGTCACTTGTTTCTTGCAGACCTGGCGCCATGTCCGCGTGCTGCAGGCAAACTGAAGTAACTCTAGCTCTGAATCTGTGTCGAATATTCCAGATAGTTTTCCTTTGACCTATTTTTGGTTTTTTCTACGGGGGACTTAGAACAGCTTGGAGAAACTGCGCGTGTGTATACTCCGACTTCTTGCTCTGGATTATACTGCCCTAGCTAAGTATTCTGTAGCAAGACACTCTCCTAAACCTCCTTCCTTCCGCTTCCAGCTTGAGTCCTTTCAGGCGGGGTCACCCTGCATGTGATTCAGCAGCTCCTAAGTCCTGATCACTGGGAGTCAGGGGATGGTCGGGACAAAGCAGGTTCTTTCCAGCCACAGTTTTCACAAGTCATTTTTCTCACCCTAAAATGTACTTCCCATCAGAAGATACTTCAAGTTAAGTTTCATTTTGATGACACTTCACTTTGTGAAATGAAGTTGTGGCCTCTTCCAAAGATTGCCTTTCTTATTTTGGATTGCAAAAAATTAGACAAATTATTTGATTTTTCTTTTCAAATTATTTTTATTTAAAAGAAGTTATTTAATTTTTTTTAATCACGTAGGCGAAATTTTTGTGCAGAAATTTTCTGCTAACTCTTCCATTTCCCTATTTTATTTCTTCATTTTCTTGGTTAGTTAACTTGCTAAATAATCGCCCTGTCAGGCATCTGGTACGCTTCTGGGCACAGTAGCTTTGTTTTGTCCTCACTGTGTGGATTGTCTCGCAACCCACAGCCTACACATCTTTTGAAAATATTTCTCCATAAAAGGAATGAGGCAAGAACATTGGGATTAATCCACGTATAATGAAGTGTAGCCCAAATGACTGTATTATCGCCAGTATGTTCACTCGTGAGAGACGATGCATGTGACTCATTTCCATCCTACCTATCCCGTGTCATCATTACTGTATATCTGGGTGGTGCCTTCTTTGTTGTCAAGTTTGTGGCAGTGATTTTGGAATAAGAAACATTGTTGGGATATAGCTCTACATTGGTTTGTCCTTTCTTCCTCACCACAGGGGACTTAGTTTTATCCGGTTATACCCATCACAGTGCTCCCAGGCACTCTCATTCCTCTGTGTTTATTGGAATATAGGTCTAAACATTTTAGGTTTAGCATTGGTATGTCCTTTCTCCCTTGCAGCAGGGATCTTAAGTTTACTGGGTTACACCCGTCACAATACTCCCAGGCACTCCCATTCCTCTGTGTTTATCTGTAAACTCCTCTCTGTTTTCTCCTCCCCAACCAGTCAATCACCTTTATCCCCCTAATCAGACTCCGTTGACTTGTAAGGTCAGATCCTTCTAGGACACTGGATTTGTATTTGTAAGTGAAATACAATTGGTTTTCTCTTCCCCTTATGTCCTTTGCATAGTTACTTTAGAGCAATGTTCTTTTTGTATAGACACAGAAAGACAATTAATGCTATGCTTTTGTAACTTGGGAGTTAATGGACTCTGAATGGTATTCACTCCTGGGCATCTGTTCTCTCAACTTAAGCCTCAGTTGCCCTTAGTTCCTAGCACCCCAAAAGGAGGGTCCCGATGAAGGACTGGATGGACCCAGGGCAAGCTGTGAGCTACCCTGGCATCGAAAAGGGCGAGGCAAAGTGCCATAATACTTAACCTGAGTTAAGAGCATGATCATGGACAAATTGTCATGATCCGAAGAGTAGCAACTGGATTAGGACCCTGCTGGAGTGATAGCACAGTGGTAGGGCATTCGCCTTACAAACGGCCAACATGGCCGCCCCGAGTTCGATTCCTCCGCCCCTCTCAGAGAGCCCGGCAAGCTACCGAGAGTATTAGATATGCCAAACACAGTAACAACAAAGTCTCCAATGGAGACGTTACTGGGCCCGCTCGAGCAAATCGACGCTCAACGGGAGGGCCTTTAATCTGGCCTGACCACTGTGGTCTGAGATCTACAGTGAGATGTCCCCAGGAGAGCCACCCTAGGAACTTAATATATCTTTTACTTTGTCCATACAAAATGAGTAATATCGTTAAGAAGTAGAATCAAGACGAATGTTTAAATGGTTGTTGGACTAAGGAAAGGAGAAACACGCTCTTAGATGGTTTTTTGCCTTACGCAGGTCTTCTTGCTGGATGAGAATTTGTCCTAAGAGAAGCTTCCCCTAAGGGAAGGGCTTTACATCTGTTGATCGTATGACAACACCTGTGTGTAACTGCTACCCCAACCCCTCAGGATTGGGGGTATAACTAAGGCTGTAAGGGCGGGCAGGGAGAGGAGGATGGAGGAGAATTGGAGGAGAATCAAGATGAGATTGGGATGAACGGCAACTGATCAACCAGCCTGGCCTCTTCCTCCGTTGCCCGCCCATCGCCATCAGCCACCTGGGGCGCGGGAAGCAGCCCAAGACTCGCGCACGCAGACAGAGAGAGGGCCACAGCTTAGTACTCATTTTTTGAATACACAAAACATATTCACAACAAACGCGAGATTTCCACTGTACTCTAAAATTTCAGAGTTTCCGAATTGACATCTTTACGGGAGGAAAGCAATCGGTTTTCTCTTACGTGAGTGGGTAGTATGGTGGGTTGAGTGCTTACCATGCGGGGCCAACCCGTTCATCTGAGTCCACCTCAGCCTGCCCCGCCCCCACCCCCCTCGGGAACGAGGCCTGGGCCCAGAGCTAGGAGTGAGCCCTGGTCACTGCCTATGTGGCCCCCAAACAAGCCAAAGGAATAGTATGAGGAGGGCCCAGAGCAGTAGTGGAGTTGGGGTGGAGGGGGTTTCTGGGAGAGACCCCTGAGTGCAGTGCCCAGAGCAAGCCCTGAGCACCATGGGGGCAGCCCTCCCACTTCCATCTCACCAGAAAAGGATACTTGGAAGATATTTCTTTCCTTTTTCATTGTTCATTTTTGCAATTAACAACTTTATTGAACTTCACAGGGCTATTCTAATATAATTTGCCCATTTATTGTTTATAACTTGTAATATTTTAGTGTTTGAGGATGAGTTTTTAGAGTTATCATTGTCATTTTGGGGCAACACGTGATGTGATTGTGACTCACCTGGGGGGCCCGGTGGACCCTGGGGCTCACCCTGGGCCTCCAGGACGCAGAGCAGCAACCCTGTGTCTTTCCCCAGCTGAAAAGATTTCTCTTCCCTAACGACTTTTCTGTTTATTTGATGAATTTCCTGTGTGTAGGTAAGTGATCTTTGGCCATTTGGGCTGCTGGAACAGAATAAAACACATTGGGTAGCTTATAACAAAAGAAAGTCATTTCTCAGGGTCAGCAGGTAGCTGCTAGGGCCCTTTCTGGGGTGAAGCCTTGTTCTGCTTTCTCTTTTGGAGACGGGGAGCAGTGCGGGGCGCTCTGGGGTCTCACAGGGAAATCCCGCTCACGAGGCTCCGTCCTGGCCGCCTCTCACTCCCGTCACTGTAGGACTGCCTACTTGTGTGGGGACCCATCAAGACCGTAGTGGACCCAGAGGTATATTTTTTATCAGTATGTGAGCATAAATTTGGAAATCTGAAGCATGCTGAAAAAAGGAAAAGAACAATAGTCTATTTTTCTTCTCAGGCAGTTTCAAATTCTCTTGTTTCCTTCTCGTTTGTTCTTTTTGTCTTCCTGATATGAAAATCTGATTTCATTCTCTCCAAGTTTAATGTGGTCAGTATTGTTGCCTTGTTGCTGAAACCTTGGGCATTGGACTGTGCTTTGGACTTTGGACTTCCCAGGCCGTTGGATTGACTCAAACTGCCCGGGTATTGTTAGAGAGTGCATGTGGAATGCAGCATGTGCCCAGTTTCTTGGAAATAAGAACTTTTAGGGTTTTTTTTGGTTTAGTTTTTTATGCCATACCTGTGCTCAGGGCTTACTTCTGGCTCTGTGCTCAGGGCTGACTCCTGGCAGAGTTTGGGGGACCTGTGGAGTTCCAGAGAATGAACCAGGGTCCGCCTCATGCCAGGCAAGCGCCCTACATACTGTACTATTGCTCTGACCCCAGAAGTTCTAGATTTTTTGTTTGTTTGTTTGTTTTTCTTTTTGGGTCACACTCAGTGATGCACAGGGGTTACTCCTGGCTCTGCACTCAGGAGTTACTTCTGGCGGTGCTCAGGGTACCATATGGGATGCTGGGAATTGAACCGCGTGCAAGGCAAATGCCCTACCTGCTGTGCTATCTCTCTAGTCCCTAGATTTTTTTTTTAAAGAAAAAAGATTTTTTGTATTGCTTAAATTGAAGTCTAAATGAGCATTTTTTTTTCCTAAATTGATCTACGGCCAAATCAGAACCTCAAGTTCTTTTCCAAAGCGTATTCGTATTTCATCATTCAGTTTTAAGTTTCTTACCTTTCTGCATCTCCAGTTGCAGTCTTTTCATTTTTAAACAGGATAAGTAATCTTTTCATTGCGACCTATTTAATTATCTTTCTACAAAATCTTTTTACCCTGACATACTTACTATTTCATTGATTAAATCTTAAATTCACTTTTTATCTAGCATTTAGTTAGCTTCCATATTCATAATTCACTTTCTGATTTGTTGCCAGTGAATTTTAAATAAGCATTCTCGTGACCATTGTCTTTGGGCAGTTTGGCTATCCCTGTAAAAGAATTCTGGAGAGAAATCTTCCTTTGCCAGGATACTGTATCTGTTTCCTTTTGGCATTATCTAGTACGTTTCTTTCCTATCAAAGGCCTCTCCCTCAGCTGAAGGTTTTATGTCTTTAATTAAAGTCACCCAATTGTTCAATAACCTTTACTGCTAAGAAATTCCAGATATTTCTTTAATGTTTCTGAATTTTAATTTTTCATAGCAGAAACTCCAATGTGTATAAATATGTCATTGAAAATTTAGTTAGCTTCGATTTGCTGGGGGAAATGTTTAAGAATTATGACTTTTCTTTTTAAAAATCGTTGCAGGTTTTTTGTTTTAAATAATGAAGCGGGGCTGTTGGAGTACTTTGTGAATGAACAGTCTAGAAATCAGAAGCCCAGAGGTACTTTGCAGCTTGCAGGAGCTGTAATATCACCCAGCGATGAGGACTCTCACACCTTCACTGTCAATGCTGCCAGTGGGGAACAGTACAAGCTCAGAGGTATGGCAGAGATGCGAGAATTAATAGCGGGATTTTCTTCTTCCCTTGAGAAGTGGGTGTGTTTTCTTGCTTTCATTTGGATTTTGGAAATAGAAACTGCTGTCTTTGATGTTTTGGAGGCAATAGTCTGAATTCTGTGAATGCTTTAAGAATTCATGAAATCTTTCAGTACGTAACTTTTCCCCAAGTTGCACAATGGATGAAAGAATCTGTTTTAAGATTGGCTCCTCCAGCCAGGGATGTAGCTCTGTGCTAGAGCACGCGTGCCTCACATGTTTGAGTGCTGAATTCAAACACCAGCGCCCCCTCCAAGACAGATATATTTAGGTCCCCCTTTAAAAATCGTGTAGATGGATTACTAGTCTAACATGCAGACTTCTTTAAGATGGTATCTTTTAAAAATGTCATGGATTTGTGTTTTGCCCCTTTTTGGTCTGTTTGCATGCTTCCTTTGTGGTCTTCAGTAACTAATTTACATAATTGAGATTAATTTAATTTTTTTTCTTTTTGGGTCACACTCAGTGATGCTCAGGAGTTGCTCCTGGCTCTGCACTCAGAAATTACTCCTGGCAGTGCTTGGAGGACCATAGGGGATGCTGGGGATTGAACCTGGGTCAGCCGTATGCAAGGCAAACGCTCCAGCCCCTAATTGAAATGTTTATTAAAATTAAGCATAAGTTGCATTTAGATAAATTTGATTTGTGTAGAAGTTTGTGTTTTTTCACTTAATAAATGGGTGTAAAATAGTAGCAGTGCTCGTTGAGCATTCCGCTAGAGATCTGCCAGTCTTGGGGACACAGTGTGTTCTTCATATGTGATAGATTTGTATGAGAAACTTGAGACTTTCCAGAGTCCTGTCCCCCAGCCCTGAGAGTTAATCTGGTGCTGAGCAGCCACAGCCAGCTTCGACGCCGAGGCCTGTGCTCCAGCCTCCCTTAGCCTCCTTCCGCCCAGGCCATTTCCTTCCAACAAAGTGGGACCAGTCTCTGATTGTCAGTGACAGGCTGTTCAGTGCTGTAGGAAACTTACTGTGTCCCAAAAATAAATATCAGAAAGAAGTAACCTGTAGATCATTATTATTATTTATTTATTTTATTTATTTTTTATCAGCTACAGATGCTAAAGAGCGACAGCATTGGGTCAGCAGGCTTCAGATCTGCACGCAACACCACACTGAGGCTATCGGGAAGGTAGGTGGCCTTGTTGTCATTGTTTTGTTTTTGGGGTTTTTGTTCTTTGTTGTGTTTGTCTTTGGGTCACACCCGGTGATGCTCAGGGCTTACTCCTGGCTCTGCACTCAGGAATTACTCCTGGTGGTGCTCGGGGGACCCTATGAGATGCGGGGGGTTGAGCCTAGTTGGCCACCTAAGAGGCACGTGTCCTCCCTTCTGTACTCTCTCCAGCCCCGTGTATGTGGATTCTTATATTAGCTACCAAATGGGCAGAGAAATCTTAAAAATTATCTTTTACAATTTTACAGACAGATCATAATATTTACCATTCTAAACTGTACAGTTCCTTATTTCTTCACGTATTTACAAGACTGGGCAACCTTTGCAGTGGTCTAATTCCAGGCACTTTTTCTCATCCCCCAAACCATCTCCATGAGCTGTCACTCAGTATTTTTTCCTTCCCAGGTTCAGGGCAAACACGAATCTGTTTCCTCTTTCTATAGGTTTGTTTACTCCGGGCTTTCCATCGAAATGAAGTCATTCATTGTGGGTTTTTTCCGGGAGTGTGCAGGGCTTGACTCTTGACTGTGTACCCAGGGCTCACTCCTGGTGGTGCTTGAAGGTCTCTCTGGGCCAGGGTTGGACTTGAGTTCAGCTGCGTGCAGGGCTAGCGCTCCCTCGGCGCTGTCTGCAGCTAAGGGGGTTGTCTTTCCATGTCTGGCTTCTTAGACTAAGGAGAATGTATTCTGGGTTCATCAGGTTGTTTCTTTTAATTTTTTCTTTCTTTCTTTTAATTGAATCACAGTAAGATACACATTTACAAGGTTGTTCCTGATTGGGTTTCAGTCATACAACGTTCTAACACCTGTCCCTTCACCAGTGTACATTTCCCACCACCAATGTCCCCAGGTTCCCTACCCCCCGCTCCGTGGCAGGCACTTGTCTTCTCTCTCTGTCTCTGTCTCTGTCTCTCTCTCTCCACCCACTTCTCTCTTTTGAGCATTATGGTTTTTCTATTATTGTCATACTGTCCCCTTCTTTATCCTAATTGCCAAGCTCCCCACCAGCCCCCCCCCCCCATACACACACACGCACACATGCACTTGTGGCAAGCTTCCAACCATTGACCCATTTTTCCTGGCCTTGGATATTAGTCTCATGCTATTTTTTTTATGTCCCAGAGATGAATGCAGTCATTCTGTGTCTGTCACTCTCCTTCTCACTCATTTCACTCAACATGATACCTTCCATGTCCATCCATTTATACGTAAATTTCACGACCTCATTTTCCCTGACAGCTATATAGTATTCCACTGTGTAGATGTGCCATAGTTTCTTTATCTGTAGTCTGTTCAAGTGTGGAAACACTTGGATTATTTCCAGATTCTGGCTTTGGTGGATAGTGCTGCAGTGAGAATAGAAGGTCAGGCGGCATTTCTGCTGTGTGCTTTTGGGCCCCAGGAGTATGTTCCCCGGAGTGGTATTGCTGGGGCGAGTGGACGCTCAATGTCCATATTGTTTTCCAGGAGGCTGGACCTGTCGGCATTCCCACAATCACGTTGTTTCTTGTATTTCCTTTTTGTGGCCAAGTGACACTCTGTTACATGGGCACACTGTTTTATCCATCCATCAGTTTGATGGACATTGGCTGGTTTTCATTTTGTGGCTATTATGTTCATGTTCAAGTTTTTGTGTGAACACAAGATTTCAGTTTTTTTAAAAAACCACTTTTAATGAGGCTTCGGGATCTGTAGAAGTGTTAACTATACTTTCCGTGCCTGTGTCATTCCACCAGTAGCCGTCACCAGAGAGCCCCTTTCCCCCACCGGTGTCCTAGGTTTCCCCGCCATCCCACTCCCCTGGGAGTCAGTCCTATAGGCAAAGAGATTTCAGCTCTACAGAGCAGAGCCTGCCGAAGTACAGCTGTGGACTCACATGATAATTAGTTCTCTGTTAAATTTTTTAAAAGAACTGTCAAAGTATACATGATCCAGATTTCTTCATTTTCCTTTTAGTGTTTTTTCCTTTTTTTTGTTTTCTCTTTCTTTTAAATCATAGACATCCTAATGGGAGTCAACTATGATATTCTGGTTTTTATTTCATTTCTATTGTGACTAGTAATGTTGAAACTATTTTCATGTGCTTACAGGTCATTTGTAGGTTTTGTTTTGCAGTGCTTTTGTTTTTTATGCTTGAGTATGGCTTTATAGCTGAGCTGTGAGGTTAGGGGTGACTGAAAACTAATATATATGGGAGTATAGTTAACAAATGCCTTCCCTAAGTGATAGCCTGACTTTAAAAAAAGTCTTCCTTATGTTTTTCCCTATAGGCAAATTGGGAAATTGTTTTAGATTTAGGCCTTCATTCTAGTTTTCAGGAAATCCAACACACAAGTCTTATTCATACAGATAGTTCTAGTTATTTATAATAATATAGTTAATGTAATAGTCATAAACCACTACCTATAAAAGTGTTAGAAAATTTATTATACTACTTATTACATTTTTCTACAGTCATGGTGTTTTAAATTCTGAAATTAGAAATTTCTTTTTATTTAATATTTTAAAGATGTGAATAAGTATTTCCTGACAGCACAGACTTAGAATTTTTTATGTAAATTGCCAGTTTCCTGTGACATGTGTGAAATGCTTAAATTTTAATTTCTTACATTTTTGTCTTCAGGAACATTTTTGGACCCAGTCCTCTAGTTAATTTATTTTTTTAAAACTGTTCATGTATAAGCCTCAAATGTATAATAAATTTCGATTAGGGAGCCTGAATTTCTCAAAGGGGTAAGTCACTTTTCCTGTTTGTCCAATAGAATAACCCTCCTCTGAAGTCACGGAGCTTCTCCCTAGCATCTAGTGGTGATTCTCCTCTGTCCCAGAGGCGACCAAGTCAAAATGCCATTTCTTTTTTTAATGTTGGACATTCCAAACTACAATCAGTGAGCAAAAGAACGCATTTGCCTCCAGACCATCTTGTGGAAGTCAGAGAAGTGAGTATAAATAAATGTTGTTAAAATGCACAAAATAACTGCTTGGTTTGGTCAAGAAATTTAAAAAATCTTGTTCTTGTTGATATCTTCTGTGGCCCTCAATACTTCCAGTCTGAGATAACATTTTTTTTTCCTTTTTGGGTCACACCTGGCGATGCACAGGTGTTACTCCTGGCTCTGCACTCAGGAATCACTCCCAGCAGTGCTCAGGGGACCATATGGGATGCCAGGGATCGAACCTGGTTTGGCCATGTGCAAGGCACACACCCTACTCGTTGTGCTATTGCTCTGGTCCCTGCTGAGATAACTTGGAGGGCGTAAAGATTCCTACTGATGTATAGCATCCCAGCTCCACTGTGGAGCTTAGGCATGTACTCGGCACACTATCATTTCCCAGAAACCTTGGGTGTGAGGTCTTTGGCTTGATTCCCAGCACCACAGAAAAATGGTACAGGGGAATCATTGATGAGAGGGATGACTGTGTGGCTGAACAAGTGACTTTTTAAGAAAAAGAAAATATACAGGCGTGTGTGTGTGTGTGTGTGTGTGTGTGTGTCTGTGTCTGTGTGTGTGTGTGTAATCTCAAATATTCTCCTTTTTCATGCAGTGTGTGCTTCATGCTGGTCCTATCTTGGTGTCCCTCCTTAATTGCAGGGGATGGTTTCAGGCATCAAGGGGTTGACGAAAACTTTAAATAACACTGAACCCTATACATCCATTTTTTTTTCTTTTTCCTTTTTTCTTCTTTTATTTTGAGCCACACCTAGCAGTTCCCAGGCATGCTGGCTCTGTGCTCAGGGATCACTCCTAGAAGGGCTCAGAGCGTCTTTTGAGTGCTGGGGATTGGAGATGGGTCGGGCATGTACAAGGCAGCGCCTTATTGCTGAGCTAATATTTCTCCAGCACCGCCTTTTTTTGGGGGCATACATACTTACCTCTAAAGTTGAATTGATAAATTAGGTACAGTAAGAGATTAATATTAACAAAATATAATAATTATAACAGTATGCTATAATAAATTTATGGCCACACTTTCCTATTCTGTCACATAAGATATCTTATTAACATGTCATCCTAAAAGTTCAGGAGCAGTTAAAAAGGCAAAGCTGGTTTGTTAGAGATTGAGGATTTGCAATTCAGGATGCAGATCTCATTTAGAAAACCTAAAGGAATATGGTATTGCCAGCAGTTCAGCCTGTACCTTTGAGGCGAGTGCATCAGCAGTCTGATGGTGCTTTCAGGCTTCTAGATACCCCAAAATTGCTGCTGTGCCTTTGGCCAGACCCCAACTTGGAGCCAAGTTTACGAAGAAAGTAAATGGCCAAAAGTTAGGTATGTAGGAGACACAAACCACCTCTGGCTCAGCTATACAATTGGAGGCAAGGCCTCTCTGGTTTCTGATCAAACTGCTTAACGGCCATGATTCCAGAGACTCAGAAACAAATCTCAGAACCCAGCAGCTTTTGGCAGAAATGCATCCAGTCCCCGCAGTAGGTTACTGGCACTGGGCAACCCCAGGGGGGAAAGGGTGCTGTCCCTTTGCCTGCTCCCTTTTGGTGGCTCGGTGGCCATCATCCTCCAGAGGCCATTGGACAGTCAGGTTTGGGCCCACAGTGACGAGACACGGGGCCTCACAGGATGGGTTGGAGCTGGTCCTTTCTTCCCTGCCACAACAGGACCCCGAGTCACTGCCCACGAACGGCCTCTCTGGCTCCTGATCAAGCTGCTTAACAGCCATTACCTCAGAGACTCAGAAACAAACCTCAGAACCCAGCAGCTTTTGGCAGAAATGCGTCTGGTCCCTGCAGTAGATTACTAGTGCTGGGCCACCCCAGGGGGGGAAGGGTGCTGTTCCTCCACCTGCTCCTCCTTGATCGCTTGGTGGCCACCATCCTCCAGAGACCATTGGATAGTCAGGTTTGGGCCCCCAGTGACAAGACACCCAGGACCTCATGGGGTTGGAGCCAGCCTTTTCCTCCCTTCCCCAACAAGACAAACAAATCTCGGAACCCAGCAGGTTTGGGCAGAAATCCCTCCAGATTTAATTGTTAAAATTTTGGAATTCCAAAATCGCACGGCTACTACTGCAACCGCACGACATCGTATGTTATTCATAACCAGCAATGGAGAACAAATTGTCTATGTTGCCTTTTCAGCAGATCTGAGTTTTGGGGTAAAATCCCAAATAATAATGGTGGGTCAGATGTCAAAATATTGAATGTAATCAAAGTAGAGAGAGAGTAGAAAACCTGAAATGTGTCCTCTGGAGGAAACACGCTGGGTGATTCTTATGTCGGGGAAGGAAGATGAAGTGAGTCATCAGAGTTGATTGATGTTAGATATGGCACAGGGTACCAGGGGGGCGTTGGGTATCGAGCCCCGGTGGCTGCATGCGAGGCCACACCCTCTGCACGCATCTGCTTGAGGATTTCTTAAAACAGTTACTTTTTGTTCATAGATCTTTGACCTGGTTCAGAGTTCTCTAACCTTGTTCCTAAGGGATGGCCAGTGCGTTTTCTCTGGAGTGCTTTGGCAGCGATCAGCGTTGTACACATGTACTATTTTCAGATTGTGGATAACTATAATCAGAGAAGGAAAAACGCCAGCAAGGGGGTTTTACTGTATTATATGTATTATAAATACAGTAATACAGTATACAGTACAGTATACTGTATTACAAAGTGACCAGTCTAGTAAGAGAGACACACAAAATGTAGGTAATAAAAATAATGACTTGAATTCTGTTTTGTGGTGCTGGGATCAAACCCAGAGCCTCCCGCAGCATGGTGGCTATTCTGTAGAGCAGTATCTCTGGCTCAAATCTTATTTTTATGCAAGTTAATGCCTTCCAAGTTTCAAGATCCTATTGCCGTATTTTTTACGGTGTCTAACCTAGAGCATCACGTGTGGGCACGTGCTACACTGCCGACCATGTCCCCTGCCTCGTCTTTCTCCCCCACTACTCGTCGTTTTGTTGAGTTTGGCGGGCACCACACCCACCAGGCATAAGGGACCATCTTATGGGCTCTGTACTCATGGATCACTCCGGGTGATCAAATAGGAGTTAACTGCATCCAAGGCAAGTACCTTACCCCGTTAGCTGTCTTTCTGTGCACTCCACACCTCCCCAAAAGCTTTATTGAACCTTCTCTTTTTAAGCAACTGGTTCATAAATTTGGGTTTTGTTTTGATTGGGGCAGTGGCTGGGGTAGGAGACCCCTAACCTGTTCCGAGGATGCTAAAGTCTCTCCTGATAGTACGTGGCCCTGCTTTCTGTGCCTGAGAGTTCATCCTCAGCTGGGCAGTATACTGCTGCGTGGACTTCTACTACAGGAAGGCCACGCTCTGGGGCTTGAGCACCGTGCCAGGGGTCAAGCTCAGGGCCTCCACATACCAGGCATGTGCTTTAACCATTTGAAATGTCTCCACAGCCCCAAAGAATTTATTTTATACTATCAGGAACTATCATTGAATCAGCTTCAAAAGCTAGTTTTGTGTTTCTTTTTAAGTATATAGTCCACTTGCTTACTTTGAGGAGCGCTTTCACCAAATTTATCATTGCTGTAATTAGATTTTAGTCGTTTTCTAGTCAAGAATATCACATCTTGAACCTCTTCACTCTTTTGGGGGGTGCGGGCATAACAAACAGTGCTCAGGACTTATTTCTGGCTCTGCTTATGAATGATCACTCCTGGAGGGGCTTGGAGGACCATGTGGGGTGTCAGGGATCGAACCCAGCTCCATAGCGTGCAAGGCAAGTGCCCTACTGGAGTGTTTTCACTCTGGCCCCATAGACCCCTTCACTTTTAACAGCTAACTTGCAGGTAGCTTTTGGGGGGCATTTGTGCATGCGCGCGCGCACACACACACACACACAAATTTTATACTTTGTGTATAAAATTTTTCCCTCTTTCTCTTTGGTGTTTCATGTGAGAGCTGAATATATGTGTTATGGATATTCTTTCTTGTAGAATTTTCCCCTATATTCAATTTTTGTTGGCTTTAAGATAATATAGAATAGTACACAAATTATACATGCACATTTTTATGTGATTGTTTTGGATTTTAGGCCACATTTGGTGGTTCTTGGGGTTTGCTTATACCAGGGGACCTTGCAGTGTTGTAGACAGAACCTGGGATTCTCATATGTCAAACATGTGCTCAGCCATTAGGACCATCTCTTTGGCCCCATTGATGTCATTTTGGAGTAAGCGTTCTTGATCAGGAGGTTGACTATTGGAAGGGGCTGGAGCGATAGTACAGTGGGGAGGGCCTTTGCCTTGCATGCAGCCTACCTGGACCCGGCTTCGATCCCCAGCATCCCGTATGGTCCCTTCAGCCTGCCAGAAGTGATTCTTGAGTGCAGAGCCAGGAATAACCCCTGAGCGTTGCTGGGTGTGGCCCCCAAGCAAAAACAAATCGTAAAAAGAAATGAACTGTTGGGCGACGAGGCGTGGCTCCTCCTTTTGGCTGTCTGAATCCTGACATATCTGCCGCTGAGGAACTCCAGTGCCATAACAAAAACGTGTGTGTTCTGAACAGCAGAAGCGTTTTCCAGGCCATGGCAGCGTGTGAATCCCTTGGGCCGAGGAGAGCTCAGCTGGTGAGAGCACTTGTTTTGCGCACATGAGCCTTGAATTCTTTCCCTGTACCATAGTTTTCCAAAGAGTGACCCCAAGCGCTGAGCTTGTGGTCGTCCCTGAACACTGCGACTGTGACCATGTGTCGTTCCCCCCTCCCACCAGAAGAAGGAGAGTGGCCCTTGGTGAGTCCATAGCCAAGTGTGTGTAACCTGCAGTCATCACATGTCAGCAGCATCTGAAAGGAATAGGGGACTCCGGCCGGCTGCTCCACCACCCAGGGGAGGCTGGTCTCTGGCTGGTATCACTGGGCCACTTCATCATGGGAAGCAGAGCCCCTCCCTATGGGGGGTCCCAGCAGCGTCCACCCATGACCTGCACTGTCTGTGGACCATGCCACTGCTCCTGCCTGACCCTGTGCTCACTGCTCCCCCGTCCCAGGACAGGCAGGGAAGGCAGAGCAGCGCCCAGCCTAGGTAATCTTCTAGAGGGGTTCATTAAAAGACTCGCCCCAGCTCTGCAAGAACACTGGATAATCAATGGGGGAAAACACGTGGAAGCCCACCAAACTCAAGGAGCAAAAGCAGTTTCACCAAAGACAGAAATAGCAGCAGGAAATCCTCAGAGAGATTCTTACTGACATGATGGTGAGATGTTCGGTGAGTTCAAGGAAACCATAGCACGGTGGGCAGCAGTGCACAAGGGAGCAGGAGAGTTGAAATGAGGAAACTTCTACAGTCCGAGATGGTTGAAACGAAGAGCATGTGGGTGATATAAAGAAGTCAGAAGGAGCTTCTAGAGAAAAAAAAGCTGAGCAGAAGATTGAGGAGCTCTAAGATGAGGAGGAGGAAACCGCATGGAAACATAGAAGATGGAAAAGCCTGAGTAGAAATGAACTGTGCGCCTGAAGCTATGGGAGGAGCTCAGGAGGAACAATTTGAGAATCATCGGAGTCCTGAAGAGCAGGAAGGGAAATGTGATGAGGAGACAGTGAGGGAGTCATTGGTGAGAACTTTGCCGGGGTGAGGATTGCAGGCACTGAGATCCAAGAGGCCTGAAGGGTCCCAGGGGAAACAGACCCAATCAGGAAAGCGCCAAGACATATTATACTCAAAATGACAAAATATCCGAAGACAGAGACAGGATTTTGAATGCAGCAGGAGCCAAAAAGGAACTTATATACAAAGGAGAGCCGTAAGATGTACAACAGATCTATCAAACAAGATCCTAGGAGCCAGAAGAGTATGGAAGGAGGGGCTGGAGCGAGAGTACAGTGGGTAAGGTACTTGGCCTTGCATGTGGCCAACCCTGGTTTGATCCCCAGCATCCCATCTGGTCCCTTGAGCACTTTTAGGATTGCAGAGCCAGTAGCAAGCCCTGAGCATCACTGGATTGTGGCTGAAAAAAAGGGAAAAAGAACATGGAAGGATATAGTACAAAAATCCAACAAAATGAACACCTTGCCAAGAATACCCTATCCGGTTAGTTTATCATTCAGATGCGAAGGAAAGGCAGAGCTCCACGGGCAGCCAGCAGCTTAAGGCATTCATAGCTCTGAGACCAGTTCTGCAGGAAGCAGTAACAGAGCTCCTTTCAAGGGCACGAGAAACCCCTGTGGTGCGCTGTGGAGTGTGGCGCTCACTAATGGTGCATGTGCTTGACCTCTGTTAGATTAAGAAAGGTCAGTATATAGCAGTTAATCATCACAAGATGACATTGATTTATTTTTTTGATAATTCTATTTGCCATTCCTTTGAGTTTTATTGGACTAAGTAAAATGTAATAAATCTGTTACATGACTGTCAGGGTGTGTGGGGGTTGTGCGGGCAGAGGGCTGGGGGCATGGTGGTGGGCAAAAAATGGAAAAATGAAAGTGAGAGAGAATAGGAAGGGGAATATATTTTTTAAGATTGATTTTTTTCCCCGTCTGCCTTTTGCTGGTTTTGTTTTGCATTGAGTAGGTCACGTGACTGGTGTGGTGATCAGGCTGCTGTCTCCCACACTGGCCGTGGTTTTGTGCTTTTAGTCCCTGTGACTGCACGTTCCCCCCGGGCGCACACTTCTGACTGTGGTGCTCCAAATGTGCACACTGCAGTGCTGAGGCCACAGGCGGGGGCCACTCAGTTCACGGGTTCTGCACCAGGGTCAGGCTCATGACCTCACGCTTGGCAGGTAGAACCGTTGGACATTTAGCCAGTGCACCATGTTCTGAGTTCCCTCAAAAAGTTGCTTTAAAAAAGTGATTAGATATTCCTCGCACCCTGCGAGATTGTCACATGCTCCTGCATCACTGCATACTTTCTCAGAATCCAACTTCTGACAAAATACATTTATTTGCCTGTTTTTGAAATTTCCAAAACAGGAATCAAATAGCACATATTCCTTTGGCTATAATTACTTCTTAGTGCGGGCCCAGTAACGTCTCCATTGGAGACTTTGTTGTTACTGTGTCTGGCATATCGAATACTCTCGGTAGCTTGCCGGGCTCTCCGAGAGGGGCGGAGGAATTGAACTCGGGTGGGCCATGTTGGCCGCTTGTAAGGCGAACGCCCTACCCGCTGTGCTGGAGCGATAGCACAGCAGTAGGGCGTTCGCCTTACAAGCGGCCAACATGGCTGACCCGAGTTCGATTCCTCCGCCCCTCTCGGAGAGCCCGGCAAGCTACTGAGAGTATTCGATATGCCAGACACAGTAACAACAAAGTCTCCAATGGAGACGTTACTGGGCCCGCTCGAGCAAATAGACGATCAACGGGAGGGCCTTTACCTTTACCTTTACCTTACTTCTTAGTGATATTCATATGTTCATCTATAGTTACTCCCTGCCCCCCCATACTTTTTTTTTAAATTCTCTTTTTGGGTCACACCCAGTGATACACAGGGGTTACTCCTGGCTCTGCACTCAGGAATTACTCCTGGCGTTGCTCAGGGGACCATGTGGGATGCTGGGAATCGAACCCAGGTCAGCCACGTGCAAAGGCAAACGCCCTACCTGCTGTGCTATCCCTCCAGCCCCCTTCTTTTTTTTTTAATAAGGATTTTTAAACAGATGTTTGAGCCATTATACCATGGCATACATATTCAGGGCTATTTCATGTATGGTACTCTTAGTTCTTGATAGGGTAGAGTCATTACATTTTCTTTTTTTTTTTTATTTGCTTACTTTTTGAGTCACACCCAGCGGTGCACAGAGGTTACTCCCGGCTCATGCACTCAGGAATTACTTCTGACAGTGCTCATGGGACCATATGGGATACTGGGAATTGAACCCGAGTCATCCACGTGCAAGGAAACGTCCTACCCGCTGTGCTATTGCTCCAGCCCCATTTACATTATCTTTCACTGGCCCTCTGATACACTGAATTAAAAACCACCTGGAACAAGAATCAGAGATGTGATTCAGTGTCAGAGCTTGTACTTGCATGTATAACACCCCGGGATTCAGCTCCCAGCACTGCCCACTCCAAAAAATTATTTGGGTCAGAGTTTCTGAAAGCTGAGTCTCTTTCCTGTGGAGTTTCTATGTAGATTAAATATAGTGTCCAATGGGACGGGCAATCTGAGAACCTTCCTCTCAGTATTGAATGTAATTAAGTATGGTAAATTCAGGTTTCAATGTTAAGAATTGGATTGCTCTTTAATCATTATTATTCCATTGGCTCTGTTGGGAAAAGGGGACAGGGTTTCGACAGAAAAGTGTTGAGTGTTTGCACCAGAGTTAGTCTCATGGAACCAGACAGATTCGGAGAGAAGCAGTGTGTGAAACCGTTGTATTCTTGATGTAGGTTTAAACTGAGCCTGCCCAGAAGTCCAGACAAGTGGTTGCAAGTGTAGACAGGGTTTAGTTTTATTATGGAATGAAATATTGATACTGATTATTAAGATGATTCAGATAGTTCATTCTGATGACTTTTATAAATCTATACTGCTTGTGAGTTGTTTTTTTATCTTTGTTGCTTTCAGATAAAAGTGCAATCTTTTACTTAATTGGTAAACACTATAAATCATTAATTGAATATAAAGTAGGTATATGCAGCTGGAGAGATGAAGTTATGAAATTTGCTTATAAGTGGATGGTCATGGAGAGTATCATGCTAAGTGAAAAGAGTCAGAAAGAGAGGGACAGACATAGAATGACTGCACTCATTTGTGGAATACAAAATAACATAATATGAGACTGACACCCAAGGACAGTAGACACAAGGACCAGGATTATTGCCCCATAGTTGGAAGCCTGTCTCATGAGCTGGGGGAGAAGGCAGCTGGAATAGAAAAGGGATCACTAAATCAGTGATGATTCGAAGAATCGTTCGGTATGGGAGATGTGTGCAGAAAGTAGATAAAGGACCAAATGTGATAACCTCTCAGTATCTGTATTGCAAACCATAATGCCCCAAAATAGAGAGAGTGTATAGGGTAAATTGTCTGCCATAGAGGCAGAAAGTTGGGGGGCAGGGTACACAGGGGACATTGGTGGTGGAAAATGTGCAATCGTGAAGGTATGGGTGTTTGATCATTGTATGATTGAAACTCAAACATGAAAGCTTGTAACTGTATCTCACGGTGTTTCAATTAAAAAAAAAAGAAAAGAAAAGAAAGTAGGTATGTAAACTTAATATATTCTAAAAATGGCTCAGAAGCTGACTATGGTAATTACAATGGCAGCTTTGTTTACATGCTACACAGAAATCCAGTAGAACATGTGGAACTGTTGTTTTTCCTCAGATGATGTCTCATGCTGAAGGACAACAGAGAGACCTAATTAGACGCATTGAATGCCTTCCTGCTTCTGGCCATCTCAGCTCCTTGGACCAGGACCTCTTAATGCTCAAAGCTACTTCCATGGCGACAATGAACTGCCTGAGCGATTGCTTCCACATCCTCCAGCTGCAGCACGCATCCCATCAGAAGAGCTCACTGCCTGCAGGTGAGTCGAGATGAAGGTCGGACTTCACAGAGGACAGATGAAGAGTGGGACAGAGGAAGGACTGCATTCCTCAGTTTGTGTCAGTTTACGTACATTAAACAATGTACGCAGGGCATATGCCTTGCAAGCGTGAGATCTGGATTTGATCTTCAGTACTGCACCACACACACACAGACACACACACACACGATATGAAACAGAAGAAATTGTTTTGTGGGGCCCTGGGAGGTAGCATAAGGGTTAAGATACTTACTTTGCAGCCCACAGCCCGTGGTTCAAATTCCCAGCACCATGTCTGTTTCCCCAGTACCACCAAGGATCACTCCTGAGCTCAGAGCTGGGAATAGCCCCTGGAAGGGTATGCCTTCCCCTTAAAAAATAAGCAAACAAAAAACCATGCCAAACCAAAATCCCTTAACTCAGACCCATGTGAGTTCTCTCCCTAGCCCAGTGCTACCTGATTTTAAAAATTCATATTGTATAGCACAATAATAATTGTATAATACATACTCACTGTCCTGTCACTGTCCTCCCGTTGTTCATCGATTTGCTCGAGCGGGCCCAGTAACGTCTCCATTGGAGACTTTGTTGTTACTGTGTTTGGCGTATCGAATACATCACGGGGAGCTTGCCAGGCTCTGCCGTGTGGGCGAGATACTCTCGTAGCTTGCCGGGCTCTCCGAGAGGGGCGGAGGAATCGAACTCGGGTTGGCCGTGTTGGCTGCGTGCAAGGCAAACGCCCTACCGCTGTGCTATCACTCCAGCCCAATACATACTCAAATACCATATAATGTATAAAATTCTTAGTTTTAAATTTATTTATGTACTGTAATACTCATATTTGGGGGCACACCTGGCAGTACTTAAGATTTACTCCGTTCTGCACTCGGTTCACTCCCGCAGTGCCCGGGATCACTGGGTGCTGAGGATCAAACCTGGGTTAACTATGTGCAGGGCAAGCACCTTACCCACTGTACTCTGCCCCCAGTATGCAATCTTCTTTATTTTGGGGGGGGCTATACTCGGGGTCACATGTGACTGAACTAGTCTGCTATATGCAATATAAGCACTTTTCCTCCCATACTATCTTTTTGGTCCAGTATCTTTTAAATGATTGCTTGATAATCTAAATATGTTGCTTATTTTTTTAAAAAGGGAAGATGGGGCCAAAGAGCTAGAACAAGCCCTTGCCTTGCATGTAGTTGACCTGGGTTCAATACCTCAGACCAACCACGTCCATTCCCTGAGTACCACCCACGATGGCCCAACCACACACACACACGGAGCGTGAAACATACTTTATAGAGAGTCTACCTGAAAACCACTCCTTTTTCATTACTGTTTCTGAGGTAAGATCTGATACCTCATATGGGGAAATTAATGAACATATATTGGTATTTCTTGCCATAAAATGTTAACATTTCCCAAATTAGGTGTGTGGGGTCAGACAGGTAGCTCAAAGCTTCGCATGTGCTTCGCATACTGGATTTTCAGTGCAGTCTCTGGTTATTGCATGGTCACCCGAACACCCAAGGATCCAAGCGTAGAGCCACAATAGCTCCCTGCAACACCCAAATGTGATCCACAAAACAAAAACAAACACATTTTGTAGAAGTTTATTCTTAAATCACTTGGCAATAAAACTGTAATTATGAGGTCTGCAGAGAATGCAAGGGAATTTGCCTTGTATGTGGCTGACCCTAGTTCAGTCCCTGGCACTACATATGGTCTCCTAAGCGTCATTGGGTTTTTCCTGAGCAGAGCCAAGAGTAAGCCCAGATTATCATCAGGTATGGCCCAATTCCCACCTCCCCCCGCCCCCGAAGTCAACCATAGCCAGTGGGGAAAAGTTGGATTACCTTCCCAACTCAAATTTTCTGGTGACATAAAAATGAAAATTTGAATTCATATTACTAGTTAATCCCATATGGTTTTAATGTATATTTTCTAAAGTTATTGACTGAAAGGCAGACTGAAAACAATGATTGATTTTTCTAGTTTTATTATGTTTTCCATTCAGTTGATGACACCTCATTTCCCCCGCCCTCTCTCTCCTCTGTCTTTCTCTCCTTTCTTCTCTCCTCTCTCGGTTGGCTGTACTCTGGACTTACTCCTGACTCTTCACTCAGGGATCACTTCTGGCAGTTCTCAGGGGATCATATGGGGTGCCAGGGATTGAACCCAGGCCGTTCATGTGCACAGCCCACATCTTCCCTGCTGTACCATTGCCCTGTCCCTGCTTGCTGATCTCTTAAACAGATCTCTTCAATTTAGTGCTTGTATGTTGTGTTTTTAGAAGCAAGTACATCTGTATATTAACAGTTAAAATAAACATTCTCAGGAGCAAAGAGTTTCACATCTCTTTAGAATTTGGGAATAGGCCCTATAACATATCTAGGGCATCTCCCAAATCAGGAAACACTCCAATCCAGGGCAAAGTACAAGTGATCGTTGTGGCAAGACTTTGCCGCCTGTAGATATTCTCTATTGGAAGGGTCTGGCGGTCTGCGTGAACACTCAACTCCTTTTAATTTCTGGGCTACAGTATGTTCAATATTCCTTATTGTAGCACTCTTTAACCAAGCTTCTGTGCAACTGAGATCAGTCTCTGAAATCAGATGGAATGTTTTCCATTATTGATTAGGCATGGAATCCACTTTGTTAATCTAGTTGAGGGTAATGAGAGACATTGAGTCATTAATTGCAGGGATGACAGGTCTCCAAATGTGACTACTGTCTTTCACCAGGTCAGCTATTATTTATTTAGTGAAGAGCTCTTCAGTTTGCAAGAATATGGAGGTACATATATATATTGAAAAAGAAAGGGAATAAACTGATGGAGTTCTTAAATTAGATCAGAGGGCTATCTTCTTGGTTGGTTAGAAAATTGCTATTGTGAATATGGTCCAATTCCAAATTGTAGCAGATTTTCCTGTTGCCCAGCCCCAGACTCCTGCCCTATTTGTGACTCTAATTATGCACCTGTAGACCACTAGAAGGGTAGGATTTATGCAGAAAGGGCAGATGATAAACTGTTAGGGTAGAAACACACTTCGTGATTCGCAAATTTGCCCCAGGAGTGAGTTCATCCTGTTGATTCTTCTAAAGGTATCTGATTTCAAGTTGCAGGTTGCTGTGTTGTAAATATCCAATCGTGGTGCTCATGCTAATGAGATATTAGTAGCTGTCTTGCAGAGTCTCTTAACAGGTTAAATTGCTTTTAGCCTTGTACATGTAAAACGTCATTGTTTCATAAAACCTGCATCTGCTGAACTCTGCCAGTTATGAGCACGTTTCAGCGACAGTTTTCTCTTACTTCATCAGGAACGACAATCGAGTGGTTAGAACCAAAGATACCTTTACCAAACCACTATAAAAATGGAGCCGACCAGCCCTTTGCAGCTGAGCAGAGTAAACCAGTCGCAGGCCCGGAGGAGCAGCGTGTTGCAGAGTCTGGACTAGTAGCGAGGGTAAGAGAAAGGGAAAAATTAAAGGTCCCTGGAAAGAGCCAGTTCTCTTTTCCTCGTGAGTCAGGTTAATATGGAATTATGTTCTTGTGAACTCTAGCTGGAATTTGTTCGACTTTCAATTTCATTGACTTTGGAAGAAAGTGTACTATATAAAACTTGTACATGTTGTGTTTTCCAGGCTAGGTTAATGCCCTTTTCTCTTTTATTTATTCTTGCTTGCTAAAAATTTATTTTTAAGACTGATATTTACATATTAAGTTTTCTAGAAAACACCTAGTATAAGCTTGTGTAAGATTTGTCTCTTAATTTCCTTCATCATTATCTTAATTGATGTTAGTAACTAGATATTCACTCTGAGCTTGCAAATTTAAGTTTAAGATTATATGTTACAAACCACTTTTTTCTATTGCCCAGCTGTGTGTTAGATACAAGCTCAGAGGTAAGGTATATTCCAGAATATTCCAGAAGCTAAGCAGAATTTGAGTCTATTCACAGTTCTACTGCTACGTCAAAATCATACTGGTGTTTGCTTTTTTGTATTCACATCTATTATTTGTATGTTCATTCTAATTACATAGTTTCATTTTAATTCTTCTCAGTTGGTACTTTTTTTTTCCCCTCTGCTTTTTCTTCTTACTTGGTACTTCTCAAGAGCATTTTTCTATGTTATTCTGGCCTATATAATTAAAGATTTTAAGGTTGAAGCAGCTTTTGAATATCTAGGTTGTTTATAATTTGTTATTATAAATAGATACATAGTAGTATATGATCCTGAATACTGATTTTCTTCCTTTTATTTGGAATATTTCTTTAGGTTAGATTGCCAACTTAAACTACTGAGTCAAGAATAATTTATGGTTATTTTATATTAGTAAGCTACTTAAATAAGACACAGGGACTTACTTCCGAAGCAGACAGAGAACTTGGGCTGTCCGAGACAAGCAAAGAGCAGAGTGGCTGGGGGAGAATTGTTTCTAAGTATGAGGTGCTTTTTCCCTTTGTCATTTTTCAAGTAGTTCCCTTGTGAACTCCAGCAGATTCATGTTATTACACTGGGTCGCATATGCCAAGTCCAGTGTGGGAGTTAGAGGAGACATATAAAAGTAATTTCCCTGAGAGACTGTAATCTTTTTAGCTTTAAACATATACACTCAAGGTCCATATGATAACAGGAGCAGAATTTTCTTCCTCTTAATTCAGAAGGTTTAAGATCGTTCTCCATGGACATTCAGAAAGATAACAGATGAATCAGGAGAGTGGATGAGGAAGGTTTCGAAGTGTTTAGTCTGCCCTGCCCTGACTCTGCACTTAGGGTTCTTCTAGCAGGGCTCAAGGGCCCAGGATGATGCAGGCAGAGCCCAGGTAGACTGCGTGCAAGGCACCTGCCCATTGTACTATGTCCCAGCCCCTGGGATGAATAACATTTCAAAGAGAAGTTAGAATTGGGCTTTGAGAGGAGACGTATCTGAGAAGAGGAGGAAGGGAATGTTCAGGATTCCAGAGGAATGATGGGAACAGACGCCGAAGCACGGGAAGATTGCCTCGTGAGTTTGCATTGAGGGCCTGTCTTACACTAACATCTAGACCAATTGGTTGCTCTCAGTATTGATTTCCCCTCTGTAAAGCTGAGATAATACCATAAGATTGTTCAGAGGTAAAAAGAACATAGTGGAGCACTTGTTTTATGGAAAATCTAGGTTGGCATTTACAAATCCAGATGACCACTCATAGTGCATTCTTTGTGGAATGATAATCCCTGGGCACAATGTAAATTACCCTCAAACATCCAATCATGCAAAAATAATTTAATAGTAATATTGGACTTAAGAATGGATGTTACATGTTGAAGATTGGTAAAGGATATGTCTTAGATTTAAGTGTGAACAGAAGACTATGAAAATAGAAACAAAAACACATTAATAGGAAATGTGCCCATCAAGGTAAAAATCAGTTGGGCTTGAGATTGACTGGCTTGAGTAAAAATCGACTGTTTGACCCTAAATGACTAGGTGAAAAATTGATTTTGTTCACAGCATGAGTAAAGTAAGAAAGCGAGCATTGAGATCGTAGATTTCGTAGAGTCCAATTTATTCGCATGCTGGTCTCATGCGCAAGAGGCTTTGGGCTGTAAATGGCTGTAAGGAGGCTTCAGAACAGTAGAGCTGAGCTGTCTGTCCCCTCGGCCACCGTGCAGCTTTGAAATAAGAGTGTCGGTCTGAACTGGAGGCTACAGTACTGGAGATTTTGCTGTTAGAGGAGAGGTATGCAAGGAGTTCTTTTTGTTTTTCGCTTCTGCTTTTTGAGCCACACTGAACAGTGCTCAGGACTTTTGAGCTCAGAGATCACTCCTGGCCAGGTTATGCCAGGGGCAAGCTCTACCCTGGACACTTTTTCCAGCGCCAGGAGTTTGCAGGGATTTTTTTTACCTTTAGCGTGTGTTTTTTCCAGTAATGAGTTTTTGGTTGTTTTCTGTTTTAGCACTTACGTGGTGACCTCAGAGGAGAACATTTCAAAAAGAATGGCAAACTTCCTAATTCTCATATGTGTCAAGATTAAAAATCAGTATTTGTGAACATAATTCCTCTTTTCTAATCTGATTTGACTTTTTATAAAAACAATAAAATGTTTTATTTTTATTTCATATATTATTTTACTTGGCGTGATGGAGATTAAACTGGGGTAGGCCACATGCTTACACTTGCGCTGCCCACTGTACTATCTCTACAGCCCCATCCTTTTGTTGTTATTGTTAGGGGAGGTCACTCTCGGTGGTACAGGGGACCAAACTTAGGGTCTTGCACATGCAAGGCATGTGCTTTGCCATATTCCTGGCCCCCAAATAATTTGTTTTTTTTTTTTAAATTCTCATATCTGGGGGCCATTGAGATAGTACAGTGGGCAGAGAGCACTTGACTGACCTGTGATTGATCCCTGGCCCTTCATACGATCTCCTGAACACCTTCGGGAGTGACCCCTGAGCATAGAGCCAGGAGTAGTAAGCCCTGAGCACCTCCAGGTGTAGCTCCAAACCAAACTAAATAAATAAAATTATTGTATCTTAAACATAATGGACTACCAAAGATATGTACTCATATATACCACTCTTGAACAGGGGTATTAGAAACTTCTACCACTGAGAGGGATGGGAGACTCCCCATATGACAGGGAAAGGATCTTACAGGGTTCTTGGGGTGTGCAAGGGTTAAGGCACCGCCTTGCATGCTGCTGATCCCAGTTCAGGCCCTGGCCTCACACTACCCCCCACGCACCACCAGGAGTGACCCCTGAGCCCAGGAGTGTGGCGCAGGTTCCCCCACCCCCAGTAAAAAAAAGAAGAAACACGATAGATATGAAAGATGAGCGTTTTCAGTTTCATTGGTTTAATGGCTTGGCAGTTTGAAGAGTTGTAGTAAAGCATGATGTTCAGACTTCGGGTGCAGTCAGTTCGGTGCTGGATGGTGTGTCTCACACTGGACGTTTGCTTTATGTTGTGTCAGGAGCCAGAGGAGATCCACACGGAGGATGAGGTGGAGGATACCTGCGACGACAAGGAGGATGACCTGGGGGCGGTGGAGGAGCAGCGCAGCGTCATTCTGCACCTGCTGTCGCAGCTCAAGCTGGGCATGGACCTGACCAGAGTGAGTGCGGGACGCGGGCGGGGCCCCTCCAGGCCAGGCTGCGGCCATGGTTGGTGGTGCTTTTCACTCTGTGAATGAAGTATTTTCTTAATCTCTTGATAAGTTTTTTTGTATCTAAAAATTGCGTGCATGCATGTGTGTGTGCACATGCAAGTGTGTGCACGTGCGCACGTGTGTACAGTAAGAAGTCCCCCAGTGAGTAAAAACTTCGTCTTATTTTTCTGTGTAAAATAAACACCCACTGGCATGGGGAAGTAGAAAGTCTAAAGAAAAGATGTAATCCACAAATCCATGAGAGCCACTTATACATATTCTCGCCTTATTTCCCACTTTGAATTCTGGGTATTACCAAGAACAGGGACCGGCAAATATTTTCCTTAGAGGTAGCAAGGTGTTTCCCACGGTGTGCCCGAAGATCAAGTCTGTTGGAACTTCTCAGTTCGCGTTTGTGTTATGAGAACAGCCACAGACAGTCTTGGGTTGGACGCTCACCAGGAGCATACGTGGCAGCAGGCGGCTGGTTGCCGAGAGACCGTGGTGAGCGGGCCTCTGCCCTGCCGCTGTGCTGCCTCACACTCCGCCAGCTCAGGCTGCAGCATTTCCCCTTGTTCACGGCACTCTGGAATTGCCTGCTCCTTCTTCTGAATGTGCGTGCAAATTTAAATTGATTTTCTTTACTGGGGGTTGAAGGGCTTGCATGTGCTCGCTCTCGTTCTCATATGTACTTCCTTAATAAAATTATTTTTTAGAAAACTGCGGGACTGAAAGATGGCCCAACAAGTTGGAGTGCATCCTTTCCTTTTACCAAGTCGTGAGTTCAGTCCCCAGTTCCAGCTGGTCATCCACACACCATCAGGAGTGACCCCAAGCATTAGGCTCAGAGTAGCCCCTGAGCACCCCTGGGGTGACCCCATGGTAGGAATGCCATCTGTGGTCAGGAAGGAGCTCCCAGGGCAGGAGCAGGGCTGGGTGTCCAGTTCCCACCACGGCCTGGTCTTCTGAGTACTGCTGGGAAGGGTCCTGAGCCCCTTTAGGCTTTGTAGTCAGAGTCCTGGCATGTAGGGAGATCTCGCTTGTCTCGAGGGGAAGCAGGTATCAGAGCAGTAGCTCACTGTCATCGATGAGCTTGCTGGAGTCGGGCCCTGCGTGGGGCTGATGTTGAGAGCTCACCTCACATGTGTAACTCCTGGGTTTTTCTTGGGGTGGGGGGCAAGCCTTTTTTCCCAGTCACAGAGTGATTCCTGGGGCCTCTGAGGAGTCCCTGGTTTTTTCTCTGACACTGCAGAAACAAAAGAAAGAAATACTTGTTCACCTGAAAATTAACTAAAAAACATCTTTCCTTTAGCATTCATTCATTTTGACATGTTTCAAAATCAAAGCAAACTTTTTTCTTTACTTAGATTAACTGATTATAGAAGAGTCTCAAAAGTAAGCAGATTGAATCAAAAAATACTACCAGACATTTTCTGAATGAACAAACTATTTTCATCTAACTTTAGTATTTAAGCTTGCTATAATTTCTGTTATAGAAATATTTTCATGGGGCTGGAGCAATAGTATAGCGGGCAGGTGGCCAACCAGGATTCGATTTGCAGCATCCCGTATGGTCCCCCAAGCACCGCCAGGAGTAATTCCTGAGCTCAGAGCCATGAGTAACCCCTCAGCGTCGCTGTGTGTGACCTAAAAAGACAAAGAAAGAGAAATATTTTCATATTAGAGGTTTAGGAAATAATATTATTTATTTGTTATTTATTTTATAAAATTGATTAAAGTCATGAGACTAGAGAGATAGTTCTAGGATTATAAGGGTTATATTATTCTGTTTTATTTGTTGCTTGCCTTGGATTCTATGAATAAAATAGACTCTAGTAACTGGGTAACTAGCTCTTCATTAAAGACCTTAGAACATAAATCTCTCTCCCTGAAAAGATTTCTATGCATAGAATTAGCCTAGGAAACCCCTGCAAGTGGTTGGGGGGGGGGGGGGGGGAGTGCTGAGACGTAGGTGTTAAGACCCCGCCTTACACCCTGCAGACTGGCTTGATCCCTGCCTCTGCATGTGGTCCCTGCGGCCCTGCCTGGAGTTGGCCCCGAGCCACACAGCATCTGCCCCCAAACAGAACAAAAAAGGAAACTGTGTGTGTGTGTCCGTGTGTGTCCGTGTGTGTGTCTGTGTATCTCTGTGTTTGTTTATATTTTGGGTCACACCCAGCAGTGCTGAGGGGTCACTCCTGGCAGTGCTCAGGAGACCATATGTGGTGCAGCCAGACGCAAGGCAAGCCCCTAGCCCTGACTGTCTTCCTGGCCCATCTCTCTGACCCTCTTAGTTCGAAACTGGTGTCTAATCTCAATCAGTTGGGCACGTTTCTTTCATTTCATGCATGTTTACTTTTTCTGTGAGACTGAATGGAGTCTGAAAGGAGACTATTTCTCCTTCCCTTGAAGTGAAATGTTTTCAGAGGTAAGAATAGATGTCTACCAATTACGCGTCGGTTCAAAATTTACTCTTTGGTTCGTATTGTGTTGCTGTTTTAGGTGGTGCTTCCTACTTTCATCCTAGAGAAGCGTTCCTTGCTGGAAATGTATGCAGACTTTATGTCCCACCCAGACCTGTTCATCGCCATCACCAACGGCGCCACCGCGGAGAGCAGGATGGTTCGGTTTGTTGAGTACTACCTGACCTCCTTTCACGAGGGCCGGAAAGGGGCCATCGCTAAGAAGCCGTACAACCCGATCATCGGAGAGACATTTCACTGCTCCTGGCGGGTGCCCCGGAGCGAGGTGGCACCCAGTGTCGCCGGCAGCGCCCTGCCGCGGGCAGAGGAGGGTGTGAGCCAGGCAGGCTCAGACTGTTACGCCGTCAGGTTTGTGGCCGAGCAGGTCTCCCATCACCCTCCGGTCTCGGGATTTTACGCAGAATGTGCAGAGAAGAAGATGTGTGTCAACGCTTACGTCTGGACCAAGAGCAAGTTCTTAGGCATGTCAATCGGTGTGACGATGGTCGGGGAAGGTAAGTACGAAGGTTCTCCGAATCTTCTTCGTTAGTATCATTATTTTTGTTTGTTTGGGGCGCAGCAGCCAGTGGTTGTTGTGCTCAGCTGGTGCCCTGGCAGCGCGCAGAGAACCAGTGGTACCGGGGATCCAGCCAAGGCTGGCCACGTGCAAGCCAGTAGTCATTTCCTGTACTGCCTGTGAGATCATCACAGGATACTCGGAAACACAAGGCCCTGGAGAGGCAGCACAGGGGTTAATGTCACGGTGCTTCCCTGGTTGGACTCCAGCACTACCAATTAAAAAAAAAATCTCACGTTAACAAACATTTCTCCTAATTCAGGAGAAATTATGAAAAAACTGGGGTCACACCCACAGTGCTCAGGGGTTGCTCCGGCAGTTCTTAGTGTGCTCCTGTGATGCTGGGGCTCAAACCAGACCTCCTGCATGCACACATGCACTAATGCTCATCAAGCTACCTCTCTGACTCACGGAAAAAAGCGAGTTTTTGGCCAAGAATACAAAAATAAATCAAGAACAACAAAAAAATTTTCCCACATAAATTGTTGTAAACTTAATGAAAAAATAATGGCAAAGTGAAAATTACCATTTCAGGGCTGGAGAGATATACAGGTATTAAGGTACTTGCCTTGACATAGTCGACCCTAGTTCAATCTCTGGCATCACGTGTGGTCCCCTGAGCACTACCAGGAGCAACCCCCAAGTACTGCAGGCGTGACCCCCAAACAGTTTTCATAAAAACTGTGTACCAGGAATCGAACCCAGGTCACCTGCATGAAAAAGAAGCACCCTACCCGCTGTACAATTCTTCAGGCCCAAATTTAGTTTCATCTTTAGAAAAATAACTGATTTCTTTTCCAGCTTAGAATTAATCAACACTTAATTGTTGTTAACACTTAAAAATATACAAAAGTATTTCAGCCAGAACCATGTCCCATATAAAATAGCTCAGTCACTTATTTCTTACTGCACTTTAAAATTGTAATAATAATAACTGGTGTTGCCTTAGGTAAAAATACGCTACTTTGGTCTATTTGCTTACCCTAAAAATTGCATTAAAAAACCCTGAATCTTGCCTTTGTGAGCATTAAGAATAGTGCTGGGGCCAGAGAATGGATGGAGTCTCAGACTCCTGTCTCGCACACAGCCCACCTGCCTGTGACCCACCACACTTTCCAGGGGTAATCCTTGAGCACGGAGCCAGGAGTAGGCCCTGAGCACCACCAGACAAAACAAACCCAAACAAACAAGCAGTGTCCAGGCACTGGAGGCGATGGCTCGGGCCTAGCATGCATGCTCTGCAGAGGAAGCCCCAGTCCATCCCCAGAGCCACGTGGGCCTTGCAGCATAGACTGGATGACCCGGAAGCACCAGCAGGGGTGTGCTTAAACCCCCTTCTTCCCCCAAACCCCATCCAATAAAAAGAACATTATAAAGAAAGCTGTATTATTACTGAGGGCCGTGAGCACATACCTAGCATATGCATTACCCTGGCTTCAGTTCTGAGCAGCCTAAGCACCAGCAGGTGTGGCCAGACTGGACCTGAGTACAGGTGTGCCGGGTCAGAGTACCGACCCGAGCCCACCCTGGTGAGCTCTCTGCTGTGTCCCGTGAGAGTTATGAAACCCAGCCAGCAGCATACACCCTACCCAATGTGTTTGATGGGGAAGTTGATAGAATTGGCTTATAATGCAGTCTGTATGTCTCTTATTTTATATAGACTATTCATTTTTAATTTTTTTATTTTAAATTGGCAGGGGAGGGATTAGGCTACACCTGACTGTGCTCAGGACTCACTCATGGCTTTGTGCTCAGGGATCACTTCCTGCAGCACTCAGGGACTCTGTGCAGTGCCAGTGATGTGACCAGAGTTGGCCTGAGCAAGGCAAGCGCCTCACCCACTATCCTTTAATATATACTTTGTTTTCAAAAATAGCTTTATTGGGGCCAAAAGATAGTAAAAGTGACCACATTTGTCAGAATAATTTTTGCTGAAAATCATCACTTTGCTCTCTTGTACCGTCACCTTTAACATTCCAGACATATATATCTCCAAAGTCTCATCATAGAATTTCTGTGTGGGGCATTATTTCTTGTGGTGCTTGGGCTACTCCAGGCTCTTTGCTTGAGTGAGGGTCACTCTCAGATGTGTTAATGGGGCCTGTCGATGCTGAGAGTCGAGCCCAGGCCTCCAGCATGCAGAGCACGTACCCTTTGGGGCCTCTGAGTCCACAGAGTCACCATTTAAACACACACACACACACACACACACAACATGTATGTATAATGTGTGTGCCTTTAAAAACAGAAAGGAGAGAAAACCATTTTTAAGAATTATACCTTTTGAGATTACAGCTTGCACTCTAACATTTGACATGTATTATTCTCAAACTGCTGAAAAAACTTTTATACTAATAGTCTGTTCTTAAGATGAGACAATGTAGTATGGCCTAAACTCTGACTCCAGGTTTGCTCTATTTTTAGGAGCATTAGAGGGAGCGCTTAGACGGTTTCCACAGCATGTTCTCAGGTCCCCGGAGCTCCAGAGGCATAATACGATCACAGTGAAAATAACCTTGAGCCATTATTACCAGAAAATATTCTCAAATGCATTTATAAGAAATGTCAGTTTTTTTTCCAAAGCTAAGGCAAAATTAAGATGTTGGTTCACTGAGAAGTAAATTGAACAGAAGGAAAGTTGTCGTTGCTGTTTTTAAAAGGTAGTGACTTCCTTTGTCCCCACGCAGGTACCCTGAGCCTGCTGGAACACGGAGAGGAGTACACGTTTTCCCTGCCCTGTGCCTATGCTCGGTCAATCCTAACTGTTCCCTGGGTAGAACTGGGTGGCAAAGTCAGTGTCAACTGCGCAAAAACTGGATATTCAGCCAGCATCACTTTCCATACTAAGCCGTTTTATGGTGGCAAACTACACCGGTAAGATGCGTAACTTAATTCATCTTAATACCTGACTTAATTCATCAGCTCGATCTTGTACTCTAACTTCTTATTCTGCCTCTGCTTTCTTTTATGTTAGATTTTTATTCATGTTTCTCTTTTGCTTGACATCTTTCAGAGCTTTCTGGACATCATAATATGGTTGAAAAGTAGTGGTAGATCTCGCCTCTTTCATACATTTTTTGTGATTAAGTGTCTAGCCAGATGTAGAGTAGAATTGCCAACAAATGAATATGCAGTATCTGGCCCAATTCTGTCTTTTAAAGTAACTCAGGGAGGTTGGAGAGAGCACAGTGGGGAGGGCACGTGCCTTATGCCACTGACCTGAGTCCCATCCCTGGTACCCCACATGGTCTCCCAAGCACCACCAAGAGTGATTCCTGAGTACAGAGCCCGGAGTAAGTGACCCATGAGTGTTGCCGGGTGTGGCTCCAAAGCAAAAACCGAAAGGAGCACTTCAGGGGACGGGAGAGTTGGCTTCTGGGTAGAGGACTTGCTTTACGTGCAGGAGGACCCAGTTTGGATCCCAGCACCTGCGCACAGCCTAGAGTGGGTGTGTAGCCCTAAAGCAAAATTAATTAATTGATTAATTAGCCAAAAAGTCTGGAAAGATAGTACAAGGAGTAAGGTGCTTACCTGGCATGTAGCCACCCCAGTTCTACCCCAGGGTCACTCCTGAACACGCCCTTAGGAATCATCCCTGAGCACTTATCCCTCTCATAATAATCACAGGCTTCAAACCTTGCAATTAGAAAAAACTTAAGAAATCGCCAAGCGAGAATTTACTAGCACATAAATCCCTCTGCAACATGCCTGCCAGCTCATCCTCTTGGGATCCAGTCCTTATAAGATAGTTTATAGTAACGCCATAAAAACAGAAAGTGAGCCATATCAGAGAACAGAGGATGAGGGAAACATGTAAAAAGTCATTATTGATAGTATAATATACACTTAAAAATGAGTATTTTTTATATTAATTATACCTCAGAAGCCATCAACAGTGATGAACTGTTAGAGGAAATGGTGACTTGTTTTCTGTTCGAAACGGTCTTCGCCTGTGGTGCAGGGGACTGAACTCAGGTCTCAGGCACCCTGGCATGTGCTTCGCTGTCAGACACAGCCCCCAGTGACTGTTCTCCTCTCAGGCGGGCCCCAGTGGAGAGTGAGGGCGGTGTCAGCCGAATGCCAGTGCTCAGGCCTTATTCCTGGCTCCTGGCCATGTCAGGGTCAAACTGGGGCTAGTGGGGGCAAGGCAAGAAGCTTGCATTGGTCCTGTGTACAGAAGTCTCTCGGGGAGAGCTTTAGTCTTTAAGGAAGAGTTAGTCACTAAAACTTTTCTACTGTATTCAAAGTGGTATTCTCCAAAGTAAATTCTCCAGGTATGCACATATTTACATATTTTGCAAGTGGTTTAATGAATAATGGACATTGCCACACTCTTCATTTTGTTTGTGTCTTCTGTATGACTTTCCTGGTACTCATTACGAGACTTTCTTAAGGACTTCTCCAGATTCGTTTTGTGCATATATTTCCTGCTCTGATCAGCCTTGTGTACATTGATCGACGCAAAGCAGAATTTCAGAGTTCCAGTGGGAATCTCCTGCACATTGATAGAAATAGTATTGTCCTCTAGGAGTTTCTGGCACTGATCCCTGACTGAAGTATTGACGACATTCACTCTATTTTCAGTGTTTTGCTACTATTAAAATTTTCCTTGTTTAGCCTGAAGACTCCCTTATTGATTGCACCTAGGCTGAAGCAGTATGAGTGCTCAGGTGTTATTTAAAGAAAGAGCTCTGAAATCTTGTCCACAATCATGGCCCTTGTAGGATTTTTCTCCTTTGTGAATTCTTTTGTGGTTTGGTTTGAGTGTTGACTGAGGGCTGTCCTTCTGAGTCACGTTTGTGCAGTTTCTCTTCAGTATGGATGTTGTGTGTTGGTAAGGATTGCACCTTAGGGAGAAATGCCTCACACTGGTTGTCTCCATAAGATTTTTCTCTGGTATATTTTCTCACATGCATGAAAGGTCTGAAGGAAAGGTGTGGCCTCTCTGCAGTGTGAGTTCTCCCGTCTTTAATGGTGAATAATGACTAGGGTTTTTTAAGTCACGATGATTCACCCTAATGTTTCTCTCCACTGTGTGTTTTCTTCTGTCAGTTAATAAGTAAAATTCTTCTTGGAGAATTCCTATCAGTGTGAGTTTTTATGTATTGAGCTAATGTTGAGTTATGAGTAGGAACTTTCCTTTTCTTTATGATCTAGAGGGTTCATTTTTAATGTTCAGTCTCTACTTCAGAAAAATAGGAAACTTGAAAGGCTAATCCCCATGCATTCATTTGTCTTTCTACACATGAATTCTCTGCTAGTCTTCAGTTAAATTTATAATTAACATACATAATGTTTGCTCTCTTGCATGTTCAGAATTTTCTTCTTTTGAATGCTTAACTATAGATTTATTCGAGTTGATATTGTGGTGGTCCCCTGACGTGCTAGGGGCCTCTCGGAATACTCTCAGTGGTGTTCAGGAGGTTGTAAGGTGCCAGGGATCGAACCTGAGACCGTGGCATGCCAGGTATGCATCCCACCCTTTTGTGTTATCCCCATGGTCCTCTAATTTTAAAACCTTCATTAGATTGCGGAATAATTGTAAAACCTTCATTATATTGTGGAATATAATGTGCTGAATATAATTGTGCTGGAGCGATAGCACAGTGGGAGGGTGTTTACCTTGCAAGCCTCCAGCCCAGCAGAGCCGGGTTCGATTCCTCTGCCCCTCTCGGAGAGCCTGGCAAGTTCCTGAGAGTATTTCGCCCTCACGGCAAAGCCTGGCAAGCTACCTGTGACGCATTCAATATGCCAAACACAGTAACAAGTCTCACGATGGAGACATTACTGGGCCCTCTCGAGCAAATCGATGAACAACAGGAGCACAGTGACAATGACAGTGACATTATATTGCAGAAATTTGATTTATAAATACACTCACAAAGATGAAATGTAAAATTCATTTGATTTATGATAATTTCCCCATATATGCAATCACTTATCACTTAATCACTTAATCCCCGTTATTCATCGATTTATTCGAGCGGGTGCCAGTAACGTCTCCATTCATCCCGGTTGTGTGCTAGCGTAGCCCAATGGTATCTGTTCGTTCTAGGAACATGCAGAGCCTCAAACCGATCATTTAGGGTCTTGACGAAGAAGTCTGACCATCTTATAGGTGGGCGTCCACGTGATCTTTTGATGTCCCGTGGAATCCAATCAGTAATGGCTCTAGTCCAGCGGTTGTCTGTAAACCTCATTACGTGTCCAGCCCATCTGATTTTTGATGTCTTGATTTTTGATCCAGTAATAAATGGATCTCATTTCCCTAACCTATATATGCAAATATGTGAAAATTTAAGTACTTTAACTTCATTTATAATAACAAGCGTAAGCAGTAATGATGTATTTGCCAGCACTGTTTAAATATGAAGACTCAGAATTCATTCTCCAAACCTTACCTGGCCATCCCGTTTATCTTGTTTCTTGCTACAAATATCCCACAGAGATTTTCTCGGGATGTTAAGCTCCCCTTCAATGTTCTTTGGGTTCGGTTCCAGGACACACGCATACCAAGATGAGCTCTACACTGCTGCCGGGTGTTTAAACCTGGGCCTTCAGGACCGGAAGACGGTACAGGGCCTGAGGCACTTGCCTGGCTCTCAGTCTCTCCAGTTGGTTCCAGCCCCACCGAGTGGTCCCTGAATCCAGAGCCAGGAAGGAGCCGAGGGCCTTTGGATGTAGTGGGAGGCGTGGATAACTCTGTCAGTGAGCCCGCCTTAGCGTATCTTCTCTTCTCCCAGCACTCCTTGCTGTTTCCGAGTCTGCATCTGAGAGATACTCTTCAGTTCCCGGTCTGTCTATACTCGGCAGTACTCCCCTTCCTGATGCAGTGCCTGCAGTGCCCCGGGACTTCTAGCCCTGCCTGTTGGTAACATTGCCAAGCACCAGCCTGTCTCACTGTCCCCGCCTAAGCACATAAGCACGGGCAGCACTGCCCCCCCCACCCCGGCCTCCGTGAGTGGACAGGCAGCACTGACCCTCGCCCCAGCCTCCGTGAGTGGACAGGCAGCACTCCCTGGCCTCCGTGAGTGGACAGGCAGCACTGACCCCCACCCCAGCCTCCATGAGTGGACAGGCAGCACTCACTCCCTGGCCTCCATGAGTGGACAGGCAGCACTGACCCCCGCCCTGGCCTCCATGAGTAGATAGGAGCACTCACTCCCCAACCTCTGTGAGTGGACAGGCAGCACTGAGCCCTGCCCCGGCCTCCATTAGTGGACAGGCAGCACTGAGCCCTGCCCCGGCCTCTGTGAGTGGACAGGAGTACTTACTCTCCGACCTCCGTGAGTGGCTGGACCGTAAAGGGCAGCTCCTGGAGTGGATGTCCAAGTCCTAGTGGGGGTGTTGGCCGATTCCCTAGGGCCACTCTCATTTATCCAGCGCCTTTATATTCAGTTTCTGAGAGACTGAACTTTATTTTCCCCTTCCTGGTGCTGGCGCCGGGCGTGCACTGTGGCTACCGGGAACTGCAGGGCTGGAGGCCTGGGGGATGGGGCCTCAGACTGCAAGCAGCCTGGCCTAGAGTCTGCACTGAGTTTACAGGGACTTTCAAGGGGTGGGGTAGGTTTCAGTGGTCTGTCAGGATTTAATATTTACGTATTTCTTTTTGTGACTTCGTTGACTAAGTTGATCAATATTTTGATAATGATCTTCAGAAGGAACCAATAAAACTAAGTTATTATTTTATAATTATCTTTTATTAGTTGGGGGGTAGGTGGGCCACATCCAGCTGTGCTCAGGGCTTACTTCTGGCTCGACTCGGGAACTACTGGTGGTGCTTGGGGGACTATGTGGAATGCCGGGATTGAACCCAGGGCAGTCATGTGCAAGGCAAGCGCCCTCCCTGCTATACTGTCTCTCCAGGCTCTTTT